CCCCCGGTGCCCCCCTCCCCCTCCCCCCACCCCCTGCACCGCCACCAGGACGGAGCAGGCAAGAGCAGACAGGCTGGGCTCTTGGCTCGCCTGTCGTTTCACTGGCTGCTCTGTGGCCGGCCTTGGCCTCAGCCTGGGCTCTGACGTATCATATTCAACGGTCCAAGGACTCCAGGCCCTTGAACTGAAACACTTCCCTGATGGTCTACAGCGGACAGGGGCCACGAGGAGAAGCCAGTTACTGCTTCCAGGTCCTCCGCTGTCAGCCTCGGGAAGAGGAGGGGACCTCTGCATGGCTCAGGTGACCCCACCATGCACAGGAAGATGGGGAAGCCACAGAGGATGCCAACGTGACAGCGAGGGGCCCTGACACAGGAAGCAGTTTTGAATCTTTCAGGCTCCTCGGGAGAGACAAGAACCGCAGCAAAGAGGTCACAGGTCCGAGGACAGCTACAAACGACGGCACGGAACTGGGGCTCCCCACCCCGCCCAGTGCTGTGGCGCTACCTCGGCCAGCCGGTCTCCCAGGGCCTTGACCATGATGCTGCTGTAGTCATCACAGTCCCGCTCATAGGCCCTGCTCAGCTCCTCCACCCCGAAGCAGGCAACAGCGAACAGGCCCAGGTAGTCGCGGACGCCCGAGTGCAGCGGCGCGATGAAGTCCGAGAGGCAGTAGTAGGGGTCTGTGCTGGCGGCGTCCTTCTCGGCCTGAAAAGCAACCAGCGGCCAGATGGGTGATTAGCACGGGACAGCAGTCTGGTCTCTGCAGATGGCCCTAAGCTTCAAACAGGGGTGTCTATCTTGTTCACGGTTACACCCCCAGCACTTAGAACAGGGCATGATACAAAGTGAGTATTCGACAAATAGTTGTTGAATAAACAAATGAAATTAGATTTTGAAAAAGCACACGACAGGACATGACATACGGTCAAGAAACCACTGAATCTGCTCACTCACACGTGGACCAAACATTTCCCGAATGCCTCCAGGCACCGTGCTAGAAACTGGAACCTCAAGCATTCATATCAGAAAAAATTTCCCCACAAGTGTTTCCAATTCCAGATCAACACTAGATCCTGAAGCGGCATCCAAAAGGGACCCACCAAATGCGCAAGCCTCTACTTCACGTTGACGGACGCAGCTCGACAAGCTCCCGGCCACCAGCCAAGGGCCACGTACTGCCCACCGTGGCAGTGGCTCAGGAGATGGCCGAGGACGCACCTGGGCCAGCCTGGAACCAAACTGAGCACTGAGCCGGACCGGCTTCTGAGAGTCTCGCCTCTCACCCCACTGACAAATCAGGTCTCAAACACATTTCACAATCCACAAATACTTACGGAGAAGGTAAACAATGAAACTGCTATTTACTGAGTGCTCACTACACTCCTGGCTGGTGCTTTACAGGAATTCACTGATTTAAGGCTGTCAACAACCATGTGAAGGAAATACGTGATGCCACCAGCTCCATTTCACAGCCAGGAAGCTGAGGCAGACAGAGCGTGACCGGTAGCCCAGGGTCAGACGGCGGCAGGTGTGGGGTCCGGCACCGCACTGTATACCCCTGACTGCTGTAGGGCACAGGACCAGTCAGGGACTCGGTGGGCGGCACCAGAAGCTACAGGGCTCACTTGCTTGCTGGCCCTGGAAACAAGCACAGCTTCACCGACGCTGGGCAGGAAGTGGTTAAACGGTTGCCGGCCAGAAGGTGTTTGATAACAGCCTGTGGAAATGTCACCAAGCTCGGGGACGGGGACGGCTATGCGGGGAGAAGCAGCTTTCCAGCTGTACATTCTCTGCTAACAAAAGCCAGAGGGAGACACAAAGCTTCCCGGCCCCACAAGGGGAGACAGGTCATAGAGCCCCACAGCACTTAAGAAGAGACAGCTACCAGAGCCACTGAGACAGAAGACTCCCAGAGCAGCCAGAATCTTCCGGAGCACTGGAAGAAAGAGCTATCGGAATGGGTACTAAATGCACATTGAGAAGTCATTACATTAAACGCCCTGACACAGCCTGCCGGGTTAGGACATGAATGGTTGGACGTAACAAGAGATCAGAGGACACAGGACCTGAAGGATGAGAAACTGGGCGGAGGCCTTCGAGCCGAATCACACCGGAGAAAGCCAAGCGACCAGCTCCCTAGTGAGCAGGGGCGGGAACGTGGAGCCTGCTGCCTTGTGGCCTATGGTGTCGGCACCCCGTGCACACAGGAATGGTACAGCTGCCTTTGGTGATCCTATCATGGCATCATTTCACGTCCCGAGTTTAAGAAGCCCTTCAGATGTGGTGACCGTCAAAACACTATCGTTATGAAACACATCGCGGTGATGATTAAAAGCAGTAACACTGCTCTGCTTCTGAATGACCCCAAACGGTAGTGACACAGGGTAATTCACCGCAACCCTTTGTTAACGACCCTGGTGCCTCCTGGTTCCAATTCTGGATGGGGACAACTGTATTTTGTAGCAGCTATGGGACACGCACAGGACATCTGTACTGTCACAGGGTGAGCATGAGAGGCGGCCGTGCCAAGGGAAGCCAGTGCGCACAGGCCGGGTTCACGCTCTGGATGCTAAGCACTTAGCTCCATCCCATCGGCCTCCGTTCCTGCCCCTGCAGGATGGAGATGGATCACCCGGCAAGGCGGGTGGGGTGGTCACGACTGCCCACAGGAAGGTCAGCAGGAGCGTGACCGCCCACAGCAAAGGCAGGTGGGGGCACGCGAACCACAGCAAGGCACGTGGGGACACAAAACTGCTCAAGGTAAGCATGGTAGGACGCAGACTGCCCACGCAAGCGCCAGGGGAGGACGTGACCTGCGGGCAGAGTGGGGGGATGCGACCGCCCCGCAGCAAGGCAGGTAATACCGCTCCACAGCAGGGCAGGCAGGGTCGAGACCGCCGCGCAAGGCGGGGGGGATGCGGACTGCCCACAGCAAGACCGTGTGGATGTGAAACACGATGGTCCGTCCAGCACCTCTAGAGTACCTGGCACCGCCCAGACATGCAGCAAATGTTTGTCCCCACCCATCTTCCCCTTCAGAAAGGGAGCCCACAGCCTGTTTTAAATAACACACATGCCTACAAACCCAGGTTTTGGAACAAGATGTGTGTCTGTGTGTGACGACCGAGGCAACGGCTGTGTTTCTCACACGAGTCCCACCGGTGCCCGAGGGGCCAGCCTCTCTACCCACACTGGCTGCTTCTCTCCATCGTCCTCACAAACGCCTTGGCCTCGGGCCTGTGCATGGTCATTTGGGGGGGAGCTGGGGCAGCCCTGTCATTTGCACAAAGCTCAGACTTATTTAATTCTTATTTACGCTTTTTCAGTGCTTCCACCAAAGCAGCAGCAGCGGGGTGGTCAGTGCGGCTCCGTACCTGCTGCCTGAGCCCGTGGAAGGTGGCAATGGGCTCTGAAGCCTGGGGCTCTGCACCCTCCGCGTACAGGTGGATGTCGTCTCCCACGCTCTGCGCTGGCCAGAACCCAACCACGCCCCTGGCTCGGAGCTTCTTTTGGCCAATCAGCGCCATCAGCATGGTTTGGGCATCATCATAGACTTTTCTGGCCTCTTCACCTATTAGGAAAACACCGTTAAGAATTCACCTAAAAGTGCCAATGATCGTCAGCAAAAACCACTTCTTTCTAAAGCCACCACCCCTCCTGAGCCATCGTCTCTGGTCACCCTCCTTTCCCCTCAAATACTGCACTGCTGCCTGTGAGGATCAAGACTTAAGGGGAGCGGCGGGGGGCTGGTGGCTCCTGCTGACCACATGCCCCGCCTGTCTCCCCAGCACAAACCACTGACATGCCTCCAGGCGGCAAGAGGCAGAGAGCCTAACGTGTGGCTCCCAGCACAGTCGCCAGACAGGGCAGCCCAGACCCTTCCTCGCCGACCTTGCTCGTGTGCCCATCACCCCACCAACCTCCCAGGGGCCTCTGGGGATGTGGGACAGGTTGCAGAGGCAAGTGTGGCCCAGGCCCTCTTAAGTGGCTTCAGCACCACACACGGGCAGCCCCAGCTCAGGGGCCTCCCACAGGTTGTCCCCCGTACAGTGGGGACTGCCCTGACCCCACATTTCCAGGAGGCCACCTGCCACCTTGCTCTCATCGGGCTCTTTCCTGATCCTTTGACTGGCTTGGCACCGTGAACCCAGGCCTTTGGGGGCAGGTTCTAGGGGTGGGGCTACAACTCCACTCACCCCCACTTCTCTTGCTGATCGCCCCAAATCCCCTCCCCTGACCAGTGCTCCAGGCGCAAGGGACTCCTGGCATTTCCCCAAATGGGCACCTGTGACTGTGCCTTTCCGTCCTGTCTCCTCTGCCTGGGACGTCCTCTTCTCCGGTGCTGTCTCACATCCCCAGTCCCAGCCTCAGTAACTCCCATGTGCTCTTCCAAAAGCAGTTCAAACACCACCTCCCCCAGGAAGCTTCCCCAGACCTCTCAGTCTGTCTCATCTTGGGTCCACAGAAGCCCTGGGCTCAGCCCCACGGCAGGAGCTCGGCATGCCATGTGGGAACCGCCCATCGCCGTTGGCTATGCCAGCTACCGGCCACATCCCAGAAGGCAGGGGTGTGTTTATTCCCAGGGCCCAACAAAGAGCCTGGCTTATTAAAGAAGAGATCAATGAAATGCCAACCACAGTCCATAAAGACCCATCTAGCAGCTTCAAGCCACCGAAGAGGTAAACAACACCCCACACGTTAGACCACAACGAGAAACCATCTCCCACAGCATCTGAACTCTCGGCTCTCCACCTGTTCTCCCCTTCAAAGTCCCAACACTGTGTCTCGAGTATCAGTGCAGAAAGGAAGGGTCTGCTGAACGAACCTACAGTTTTGTCCTTAAATATCTTGGGAAAGTTCCGATTCGGGTACTTGCCACGGAGCTGCCAGACATCAAAGAAAGGCTTCCAGTCGATGTAGGCCACCAGCTTCCACAGATCGTAGTCTTCAAAGACCCGAGTCCCAAGAAACGTGGGCTTCACTGTAAAAGTGAAGTAGTGATGTCACACGGATGCCGCAGCCTGCGGCTAAGCGCCTAACGCGCACGGCAGGGGTCTGTGCCATGCCTCCTGGGCCAGCTCTGTACTGCTCCGGGGGCCCCACGCTCTCTCCCCCCGCAGTCACCCACAGGAACTGCTTTACAAGGAGGGGAGCTGTAAAATTTTGCAGTAAATCTTAAATAAAACTACCCTTCCCAGACAGCTGTCTACACTGGCCCTTAAAAATTCCTCCCTCTGCCCTTTGGTCAAAGAGAAAAGACTTGGGTTTCTCTTCACTTGTACAGACGGAGACAATACTAAAGTAAATGCCACTGTAGAGAGACACATAAGGTAAACCACTTACCAGAGGTGTGAAAACAAGAATCAGCAATCTCTACTTCCCACTGATACACATGTATATGGGCAAAGTATAAGGACATGCACAGAAACAAGGCATCAAATTCAGGATTGTACAGGGGAGGGAGGGGCACACAAGCAGCTTCAACCACTTATGTACTGGCTTTTTTAATGTTTATTTTTGAGAAATAGAGAGAGCACACGAGCAAGGGAGAGGCAGAGAGAGAGGGAGACAGAGGATCGAAGCAGGCTCCACACGGTCAGTGCAGAGCCCCACATGGGGCTCGAACCCATGAACCGTGAAACCATGACCTGAGCTGAAATCAAGAGTTGACCCTTAACCAACTGAGCCGCCCAGGCGCCCCGGCATTGCTTTGTTTTTAAAATGGGCACCAGGTTATTTCTGAGGTGGCTGGCAATATTCGTGGATGTTCGACATATTGTGCTTCACACCCCGTGAGTGTAAAACAGGACCCGAGTTAAATAATGATGAGGAATGAAGAAGAGCAGCACGCTGGCACCCTGCCTGCAGCGGGGTCAGCGGGGTCGGGCCGGAGTCGGAAGTGATGCCCACACACGAGCTTCCTGGCTCTCAGTTTCCTGGTCTGTAAATAGGGTCAGAGAACTTACACCATCCTGCCCATCTCAGGTGCTTGGGACCGAAGTCCCAAGAGCACTTTTGTCTCGTCAGATAGTAAGAGGCGGACGTGAGGCAGGAGTACAGGAAAAGCGCGAGCTGCTGCTGAGTCTTGCCTGGAAATCGCTATCTTTTCACACATGTTCGCAGTAGCTCTTTGTCATTTGTTCCTGGTCGTGTTTTTACTATTCAGAATAATCACTTCTTCATCATATTCCAGTATGTTGCTTCGTTTGACAGATAAAAGAAACTACAGATTTCCTCCTGATGAATGTCTCCTCTTGCCTAGAAAGGCAGGGAGAAATGCCCTGTCACAGTCACTGAGAGATGTCAGTCTTGAATTTTACTGCCAACGACCTTGAGGGAACCCTTCTGTCTCCCTTTCCTGACTTCCTGCAACTAGTCTAAGACTGGGGTGTCCTCAAAAACACTTCTGAGGGCTGTACGTCAGCACCTCGATCTTCTCAAGCAGCAGGTCCAGAGCCTCGCAGAGGCCCCGCACTGGGGACGAGTGGCCGTTCGACTGCTGCCTGGCACCGTGGGCCTTCAGAGGAATGTCCCCACTGAACTGTGTCTGGATGTTTGACTTGGTTAAAATGGACTTCCCTTATTAGACTTTTCTAATTTCACAGTGAAAGGTAAAGAGAAAATAATAGACTATATAGTTATTTACATTTTTCGAAGGTTTATCTTTTCTTATCCTTACAACCTTTCACAGGGTGACTCCTTCTTACACATCAGGTCGAACATGGATACAGGATGCTCAAGGTCAGTGATTTGCAGCCGGGAGGCAAACTGGGGTGAGAACCAGGCCTCCTGACTCCTGACGTGGCATTCCTCCTACTAAACCACAGCGGGCTCAGCAGGACTGAAATCAGAACCAAGCTCACCTACATTTCCAATTTAATGCTCTCAAGTCAGCCAAGGAGCCGCGGAACACAGATGTTGTGAGCAAGGAGAGCGGATCTGAGGTATTACCTTGGAGATACAGATTCAATGAATACAACCCCTGTTCACCCTGTATGGGCTGTGCGTGTGTATCTCATGCCTCTCTGAGCGTGTCAAACATCTTCCATATTTTACTCCCTCGTGAACACCTCTATCAGGCAAGAGAGCTGGCTAGAAATAAGGGGAAAAAAAAAACAAAAGAAACAGAAAGAGGGAAGCATTCAGAGAGGGAATGGGAGAGAGCAAACAAGAAACAGGAGCTCCAGCTTAGCCGGAATGTTCTAAAGGTCTGTTCAGTGTGAGGGCATCTTCAATCTCAGAACTACACATCGGCCCTGGGGCCTGGCCTGTGACCCAGGCCACTCAGTGACTATACCACCCAGAACCTGCGTCAGGCTTGGGGGGCGGGGGGGGTGGGGGGGTGGAAATTGAGCACAGCACAGAGGAGGGAGTGTGGGTTAGAAGGGGCAGACCAGGGATAGAACCCAATAACCTTTCGGGCTCTTACCCGAAATTCAGGGTTTTCACATTTAAGCGGGGATAACAGCACATTCACTACGGGGTTGTGTCAAGCACTCAGACACTCCAAGCGGTCTCAGGACATAGTTTGGTCCTCCATAAATGGTACTGGTTTCCTTTCATTTTCAATCATCAATGTCCTTCATCACCATTATTAGACACGATAAAGCATCTCCAGCTGCCTGATTCCCAGACAGCTGAATGCAAACGTCTCTCCAGTCACATTATCACCCACAGCCTTTCTCCAACTGACAGTCAAACAGACCTGGGGGAGCCTCCGACAGCCAGTCCATATGGAAACCGTTTTTTCTAGCCTGACTTAACGTTAAGTATCTTCTCTCCTATGAAAAAAGAGAAGTTATTTAGTCAGAGACTCTTAGTTTTTCAGCTGCTACTATGAAAGTCTGTCTGAAAAGCTAGTACATGAGTTTTATTTAAAAAAGGAAAAGGGAAAAAAAAAAACCCACAAATGCTTTCATTAATGAAAATTCATATCCTGAAAAGTTCTTCTTTTTCCACCCAATATGAGGGCTTCACATCAGCACCAGAACAATGGAGAGTAAAGATTCAATAAATATCCATTAAATATTGATAGGTGGATACGAAGCTGACCCGTGCCCTTCTCAGAGCGGTGTCCTGCCGGTGCTTCTAGAATACCTGAGGCCAGGCTTATCTGGCCTGCCGTTGACCGCCCCCTGGACCAGAGGGCAAAACTAAGAAATTTTCAACTGTGAGCAAACCTAAGAGGCGGAACGCCAGCCACAGTATCTTGGGCTGGTCACCATCTCACAAACACCTCTTTTCTTCCTGCTGTTTGTTGTCTCATTTCGCTTGCCTCGCCACCCCCCAAATGCACCCCTCTACGCACAAGACCCAACAGGCAGATGAACCAGGGAGAAATATTCCTGTGACTTCTAAAGAGTGATTATGCCTCCTTTCCAAGGAACCCCTGAAGCTTATCTAGAGAAGGGCAGTTGTTGAGACACTGCTCTGCACAGTCCGTGCTGGGCAGTCAGGGAGAGAGGCGGACAACGGTCCCCTCTAATGTCATTTTCTTCCATTATTTCAAGAACAAGGATCCGTGGGAGTCATTTTCTATACGCTGCTTCACTTCCCGTTCTCCCACTGCACTTGTTTCATTCATTCTCATAGCTCTGCTGTCTAGCACAGCACCTAACACCTACTGTGTACCCAATGAATGTTTGGTGGAATAGATGAAATTAATTTTAGTATAACCCCAAGTTATCAGGAACTTAGGCACCAGAGAATTCTGATCTGAACATGAAAACAAGGCTTCTCTAAAATGATGCTAAACCTGTTGCCCTCCTTTAAACAATGAAGTCACGTTTTAAAAAAAAATGCAGGATCGGTTTAATACCCAAACTAGCAGGTATTTGTCACTTACCCTGAGAGACTCGTAATGGTCCTGTCTGATCTCTTCATATTCTTCTAAGATCTCCTCAAAATATTCATCCTTGAGATTCTCATCTAATAGCTGAGAGCACTGAAAACACAAGATCAAAGTTCAAGAACCACAGAGGAGCAAAAGGAGATAAATAAAATATGGACAACACTGGTCAGTGCTGGCGACACCTCCTTCAGGAAGCTTCCCTTGTCAACGTCATCCCCTCTCCCTTCACCAGCTTCGTGAAATCCTGCCAGGGTATGCAGTTAAGAGCTGCCTCGGAGGACCTGGGATGTCCAAATCTCACACATTCAAAAGAAAACCCTTCATGGTTCCTGAGAGATAAGCTGTAAGCCCTTGAAATGTCCTGCCTGATGAGACACTTCGTCTACATGGAGCCCTGGGCCACCCTGGATGGTCTATGCTAACTAACAACGTGACTAGGGACGAAGCTTGTTCATGTTGTATCCGTCTGACCTCTGGAGTAACTAAGGCTCTGGTTACTAAGGTCAGTCAGGTCATTAAAGCACTCCTACGTGACTGACTCCCAACAGAAGCCCTGGACACTAAGGCTCAAGAGAGCCTCCCTGGTTGGCAATGCCCCCAGTACACTCATCACTGGTGGAAGAATTAAGCACTGGCCACGTGACTCCGCTAGGAGAGGACACCAGGAAGCTGGTGCCTGGTCCTGCTTGGATTCCACCCTTTACATCCTTTGCTGACTCGTGGCCATCTGCCATGATTATAACAGTGTTTCTGAGTTCTGTGAGTCCTTCTGGCAAATCACTGAAGGGGAGCGTGGTCTTGGGGACCCACACAGCACACTAGCTAGGCGCCTCTCTTCAGTGTTTCAAAGATACCCGGTTCACGTCTTCATCACTGCATTTACCTCAGGCTTTTAGTACCTGTCTACGTACCTCCTTGCCTCACTAGAGGACAAACCCTTTGAGGGCAGGGCTGCGCCTTAACCACTCCGTGTCCCTGGTTTCTAGTTCTGTGCCTGGCACGTGCAGGGCGCCTCCTCACTAAACGCTTGCTGAAGGAATGAGGCTAATCTTCACAGTCAACTATGACTGGCTAAGAAAAGAACAGAAACCCGTCATCTGACAAATACGAGGCTACTCGGTACACTGTAAAGCTAGGATCTGCGAAATATTATTTGTGACCAGCATTATCAAGTTGGTGGAAGTAGAGCCAAAACCAAAGCTCAAAAACAAGAAATGGCTGCTCCTGATCACGATCAATTCACGACGAGGCACCGCCCCACCCCTGCGCCTCCAGCTGGACTTC